CTGCTAACAGAACCACACTGCTAACAGAACCACACTGCTAACAGAACTACACTGCTAACAGAACCACATTGGTAGCAGAACCACACTGCTAACAGAACCACACTGCTAACAGAACCACACTGCTAGCAGAACCACACTGCTAACAGAACCACATTGCTAACAGAACAAAACTGGTAGCAGAACCACATTGCTAATAGAACCTCACTGCTAACAGAACCACACTACTAACAGAACCACACTGGTAGCAGCACCACACTGCTAGGAGAACCACACAGCTAACAGAACCACACTGCTAACAGAATCACATTGCTAACAGAACCACACTGCTAACAGAACCACACTGCTAACAGAACCTCAAGAACCACACTGCTAACAGAACCACACTGCTAATAAAACCACACTGCTAACAGAACCTCACTGCTAACAGAACCACACTGCTAACAGAACCACACTGGTAGCAGAACCATACTGCTAACAGAACCACACTGGTAGCAGAACCACACTGCTAGGAGAACCACACTGCTAACAGAACCACACTGGTAGCAGAACCACACTGCTAACAGAACCACACTGGTAGCAGAACGACACTGGTAGCAGAACCACACTACTAACAGAACCACACTGCTAGCAGAACCACACTGCTAACAGAACCACACTGCTAGCAGTACCATGCTGCTAACAGGACCACAATGCTAACCGGACCATGCTGCTAGCAGGACCTCACTGCTAACAGAACCTCACTGCTAACAGAACCACACTGCTAACAGAACCACACTGCTAACAGAACCACACTGCTAACAGAACCACACTGGTAGCAGAGCCACACTGCTAGGAGAACCACACTGCTAACAGAACCACACTGGTAGCAGAACCATACTGCTAACAGAACCACACTGGTAGCAGAACCGCACTGCTAGCAGAACCACACTGCTAACAGAACCACACTGCTAGCAGAACCACACTTCTAACAGAACCACACTGCTAACAGAACAACACTGGTAGCAGAACCACACTGCTAACAGAACCACACTGCTAACAGAACAACACTGGTAGCAGAACCTCACTGCTAACAGAACCACACTGCTAACAGAACCACACTGGTAGCAGAACCACACTGCTAGGAGAACCACACTGCTAACAGAACCACACTGGTAGCAGAACCACACTGCTAACAGAACCACACTGGTAGCAGAACCACACTGCTAACAGAACCACACTGGTAGCAGAACCACACTGGTAGCAGAACCACACTGCTAACAGAACCACACTGCTAGCAGAACCACACTGCTAACAGAACCACACTGCTAGCAGAACCACACTGCTAACAGAACCACACTGCTAGCAGTACCATGCTGCTAACAGGTCCACAATGCTAACCGGACCATGCTGCTAGCAGGACCTCACTGCTAACAGAGCCACTTTGGTAATGGGACCACGCTGCTGACAGTAACAGTGTTTTTATAACACTATTTTATCTTAGTTGTTTTATATTGTCTGTGTTCTATGTGTTGTCTATGTGGAACGTGTCTGTTGACAATGAGTCCTCGCGACTCAGTGAGACTACCTGTATAAATAAAGGTTAAATAAAAAATAAAAAAAAAGTATAATTTTACTTTTCAGCTGAGACTATAACAAAATCCGCAGCAGACATTTAACACGTCTAAAAGAGAAGCGGCTGGTTCTCCACACCTGGCGCTCTCTTCCTGCAGTCATGTCCTTCAGCTCGCACCGCGGCATTTGCTTTCTTCACCACGCAGGGCTCTCACTGGAAGTGCCTGCTGCCAACAGTTGGTGTTTGAGCTGGTCCTTGAAGCGCTTTCTGTTTGCTTTTCTAATGACATTGCTTGTATTTGCACTAGCTTTTTGTTAGCTTATTACATGATTATCATTTTGTTGAAGAAGTAAAAGTTAGAAAGGTTACCCGGGTGTCACAGCTGGTGAAAGAAATTGATGACTTACTTTTTATTTGTCCTGATTTTAGCTCAATGAAAAGTATCTGCCCATTTATGAGGGTAATGAGAAATACTTGCACTGCTGAAATCGAATGGTATTTTAATAAACCCAATTCAAAAGTCATCTGAAGCAAAAGGACAAAAAATAAAGATATAAAGGAAACCACAACCAATCTCGATGGGGTCGCGCATTATAAATAACTGCTTCTCTTCATTAGTCAGATGAATCGAGCGTTGCTCTAGTGAACATTAACACGTTCACCCATGTTTGTTTCACTTCCTTTAATTCTTCAGCATACACTTACATGCTCACACTCCTCACACATAATTGTGTTGGTAAGCTCGCCGACAAAGATGCGGTCCACAAAGTTCATCTTCACACCTTCTTTTCCGTACGCTGTGAGGAAGAACAAACAAGACAATTCTCAGGGAATTATATGGTACGTGTGAATTAAATGTGGGTCAAGACCATAAAGAATTAAAACAAAGCACGTTAATTAATATGTTCTCTATATATTCAACACTTTTATTTATAAAGAACAGTTCATCAAGTGCATACATTTTCTCCACTTTAATTGTCCCCTGGATTATTGGTGTCTGTGTTTCCACTAACCAACACAAGGTGGGACTACAGATCTTTGATGTGTGTGTGGTGCGGCGCTTGCAGCAACCTTTCACTTGGCGTTTAGTCTCCTCATTTGCAGTCTTCTCCGTGGGATTGTTAAAAGCTTTCAAAATGGCAGCTTTCACCCTCTGCAGACCAAAAAAAAATGCAAAGGCAAAAATTATAAGTGGTTTTCATAGATGCACGCTAATTATATCAATTATATAACTAAAACTGCGTGGGTCTTTTGGGGATGGGAGAGGTTCTTCAGCTCTCTTTAATACAGCCATTAGTGGGATATCACAATCTAGCCTGCAGCTGAGTTTGACAGGTATACCTATTATAAGCATCATTAGTGTAAAATAATTATTGTGCTTGTCTAAAAGCGTTACCATGTAAAGCTCTTAATTAACTGTGTATGTTTGTGTGTATAAGTTTTCCACAAGGCCTCCTCATTGAAGGTGACGTGGTCAGTGAGTGTGTTGGTGTGAGAGCTGTGAAGAGACACAGCCTCTGTAAAGCACCAATCAATAGATAATTGGCCGGGGCCTCTGACTGAGTCAAGACCAATCAACCCCCATTGTCCCGGGACCCACGCACCGAACTGGCTATTTAGGTCAAAAAGCCCCGTTAATCCTAGTCTGGCCAGTCTGCAACCCACTCAGTCTGCAAAGTCAAACCAGGCTGTGGGTCACCGACTAATTAATTACCAGTAACCCCCCAAAATAAAAGGATGCACTGTCCCAGAGACGATGGGGCACAGGGAGGGGGGTGTCGGGTGAATGCAGAGGGTGGCTGGTACAAGAGTGCAGCGGCCGATAGTAAAACGAAGACACGGCAAAGAAGGCCGGATGATGCCTTGAGAGAGAAATACCCACAATCTCAACTAATTGGCGATAATTGACCGAGCTTAGATTTGCATATTCAGATCTCAGATACTAATGTCCAATCAACACAGACACTTAGGGGTACTTACAGGTTACTGACACAAACACAAAAAGAGTGATTATCACTGTTATGGGTTTACTTCACAAACACCTTTGAGAGAAATTCATTTCTCTTCAGGTGTGAATTTATACCCGTTTAAAAGGAAATGTTTATTTCATGGTTAAAACAAGCTCTAATTATCACATATTGTACATTTAGCTGCTATATTTAGTCCTCAGAAGAGTAACTGGGATAACGCGCTCATTTGAAAAAAATATTCAGCTGTCTAGTGTGAAATGTGTTTTTGCAGCATAAATGAGTTTCTGAGTGAATGAATAGAGGAGTCCATACACCCTCCCTCTTTACCTCTATGATTTGATTGAGAGACTGGGTGATGATTGTGTTCATGTGTTCGTGTGTGTGTGTGTGTGTGTGTGTGTGTGGGGGGGGGGGGGTACTGTGGGCGACCCTCAAGCACAATGGAGCGGCCCTGGAGCTCATTCAGCAGCTGTGGGTTTCCCAAGATCACACAATGATGCCGGTAGTGCCACTTGCAAGTCCCCTAAGTGGCACAACTGTTAGTGTTCACAAGTTTGAATGGAAGCAGGGGCGCCCATCCTGTGGCCCCTCTAGGCCTGAGGCTGACCACTAAACACACCCGCTAACTTCTCCTCCTTGGTTCATGCAGTCACTGGTGGGCACTCCAAAGAGCTGCTGTGGGGTCTCCTAATTGCTCTGTGAAAGGTGGGGGGAGGCTCTGTGCCAAAAACATGGCACCATAAGGTTTACACATGGCACGTGGAAGAGGGAAACCCTAGAAAGAAGGTGGACTTTCTTTTATGTATAACAGGAAATGTGATGAGTAAAAAAAAAAAACGATAAAGACTATAGGAAAAATATACAATAAGACTGATTGGGCTGACAAATACTTTTTTATTTTTAGCCTTTTTTATTGTAAGAGTGAATATGACTCTGTGGCGGGATTGGACTCAGAGCACATTCATTCATTCATTCAACCTTTATTTAGACAGGTCAATCCCATTGAGCCTCGAGGACTCATTTACAAGAGAGACCTGATTTTAACAAAGAAAGATGACAACAATGGACAACAGCGACAACAATAAATAGTTATAAAAAGGCATACAGATTTTTTTTTTTTTACAAATAAGATGGCAAAAAAAGCAACAAAAACAGCTAGATTCTAAGGCGAATGTAGAAAACTAAACAGGAACATGTCAGCACTGGTCCCTGCCAGGTGTCCAACAGATTCTTAAAGACACTTAGAGAGGTCAAGGTCGAGAGCTTCAAATCTTTTTGTAAGATATTCCAGGAAACAGGAGCGGAGTAGGAGAAGGCCCTTTTGCCTAGTTCAGTCCTCATTGAGGGAACACTGCAGGTAATAATGTCCTGAGAGCGCACGCTGTAGCTGTACTCACGCAGAGACATGTAGGAGGAGATGTATGAAGGCAACAGACCAAGAAGTGATTTAAAGATGAAAATGTACCAGTGAGAGAGTCTGCGTGAAGTTAATGATGTCCAGTTAACCAGTGAATACAGGGTGCAGTGGTGGGTACGATAATCACAGCCAGTTATGAATCTTAGTGCACCATAATAGACAGCATCCAACATCTGCAGGGTTCTTATAGGAGCGTTCATGTAAATAATATCACCAAAATCAATTGAGGGAAGGAAAGTCACAGAAACAAGGCGTTTTCTAGCATTCAGATTTAGACAGGATCTGTTTCTGAAAAAGAAACCCAGTTTAACTTTCAGTTTCTTTATCAAGTTTTTCACATGGAGCTTAAAAGAGAGATGTGAGTCGACCAAGATACCCAAATATTTATAGGAATCAACAAACTCAATGGGGACACCATTTGAGGATAAAATTGGAGGAAGAACTGCTGGGACCGACTTCCTGTTTGAAAAAAGCATCCCTTTGGTTTTGTCGGCATTTAGGACAAGTTTGAGGCGAAACAAATCAGACTGGATGTTGTTGAATGCAGATTTCAAAAGCTGGAAAGCCTTAGCAACAGTTTTAGCTCGACAATAAACAACTGTGTCATCAGCATAGAAATGTAAGGATGCATCAGTGATGTTTTGACCTACATGAACTAGATGTCAACACTGGAACAAAGTTTGTTTTGTAACCGATCTTGGTTAAACCCAGACATATATTTGACAATCTAAAACTGGGTTTAGACAACTAGAAAACTTTGATTTTTAAGACAAATTTAGCCTCAACTCAAAGATGCTCAAATGGGAGTTAGTATGAGCCGGCGTCTACATACGAGCAGCTCAAACTTTTATAAACTCAATATTTTGTGCTCCTAAGAGACGAATCTGTCTGTCCTGTGTTTTCTGCACCTCCCTGTGTTTTCCTCATCCTCGTGTTTCTGCTCCTGCGCACACCTGTCCTGAGTTCTAATCATTCCAGCTGTTTCCCACTATGTCTTAGCGTCTGTATTTAGTCTGTGTGTTTTCACTCCCCTGGTATGGGGGCATTAATTAACTACAGTATCACTCCAACCTTTCCACAGTGATCATGGTCTGGTCTTCCTCTTCATGGAAATCAAGCGTAAGTCCTTCCTGTCCTGTCAGCACTTCTGTTTTGTTTTTTGAAAAAATAAATCATTATTTTACTCCCGAGTCTCCTGCTCTCTGCCTGCACATGGGTTCAACATCTTAACAACCATGTCATGTCACTGAATAGCTTCACATCATCAACACTTCAGTCAGAAAAAGACGCAGCTCTACTAGGACAGTTTTAAGGAACTAAACTTTGCTTTCTTTAAGTCTTATATCTATAGCTGATGTTTAACTCACAACTGTAGCTGGTAGCAGACAGGCTGCACTGAACTAAACCGAATGAGAATTTGGTGTTTATTTTGAAATCCATATTTAGTTTGGAAAAAAAAGTAACTTTGGAATAAAACTGTCCCTCGCTACTTCGCAGATCGTTTATCGCGGACTCGCTCTGTCGCGATTTTTCAAAACAACATTGGACATGACACACAACTGGCTGATTGATGGTTGAGCCACATGATCGGCACGGATGTATTATTTTTTAAAATAAATTATTTTAAACTATTTAGCACCTGCTGCACCTTTGTGCAGCCCACACTACAGGATAAACTTCCTGCTGTAGTTGATCAGCTGTTCTCCGTGCAGAGCGGCGAAGTGGGCGTGGCCAAGAACGCTTGCTGGTGGCAAAGAGCAGCGGAGGCAGGGAGCTGAAATCATGACATTCTGTGCTCTTTTAGAGCGTTTAAGAGTTTAGAAACATTGTTCAGAATATTGCAAGAGCGTGGGAAGGGTTTAAAATGCTTTATATAATAAATAAATATATATAAATATTAGGGCAGCACGGTGGCGCAACTGGTAGAGCTGCTGCATCTCAGCGAGCAGGTCCTTGGTTCAAACCCCGGTCCAGGGGCCTGTCTGGGTGGAGTTTGCATGTTCTCTCCGTGCATGCGTGGGTTTTCTCCGGGTGCTCCGGTTTCCTCCCACAGACCACACTGATGGCTGTTTACTATTCACAGAGGGCTGAGTGATATTAGCAATCACAGCATTGTAAGAGGGGGACAGTTGAACCCGGAGGCCTCCACCCCTGTTTAATGATGGACGATTTCTTTTCACAAAGATGGCCTCCTTTACTCCTCTCTCAAACCATCGTTCCTCTCTATCAAGGATGTGAACATCTTCATCCCTGAAAGAGAGACCGCTGGCCTGGAGATGAGTGTAGACCGCAGAGTCCTGGCCTGATGATGTTGATCTTCTGTGCTGGGCCGTCCTTTTGGCCAGTGGCTGTTTAGTTTCCCCGATGTAAGACTGATCACCCTCCTGACACTGAACAACATACACAGCATTACTCTGTTTGTGCCGGGGGACTGGATCTTTGGGATGAACCAGTCTTTGCCGTAATGTATTTTGGGGTTTAAAAGCCACTGGGACATTATGTTTAGAAAATAAACGTCTCAGTTTCTCTGATACTCCCTCAACATATGGAATGACCACTGGTCTGGGTCTGGGTTCCTCCTTTTTACCTGATGGCTGACTGGAGTCCTGTTTGGGTTTCTTCTCTGCTTTCAGGAAGGCCCAGTTAGGATATCCACATTGCTCTAGAGCCTGTCTTGTGTGGGATTTCTCCTTCTGCCTGGCTCCTGAGTTAGTGGGGATGCTGTCTGCTCTGTGATACAGAGTCCTGATGACTCCTAACTTGTGCTCCAAAGGGTGATGGGAGTCAAACTGCAAATACTGGTCTGTGTGGGTGGGTTTGCGGTACACCTCAGTTTGCAAATGTCCTCTATCAGAGACTGAGACCTCACAGTCCAAGAAAGCCAACTTGCCATTTTTTTCATCTTCTCATGTGAACTTGATGTATTTATCCACAGAGTTGATGTGGTCAGTAAAATGTTGGACTTCCTGAGATTTGATTTTAACCCAGGTGTCATCAACATACCTGAACCAATGACTTGGTGGTGTCCCTGAAAAGGACGTCAAGGCTCTCTTTTCTACCTCCTCCATGTACAGGTTGGCAACAATAGGAGAAACTGGGGACCCCATAGCACACCCATGTTTCTGCCTATAATATTGCTCCCCATATGTGAAGTAGGTTGACTGCAGGCACAGTTTCAAGAGTTGACACAGTTGTTCTGTGGAAAGCGTGGTCCTGCTGCTCAGAGTGGTGTCTGATTTTAATCTTAAACTGACCACCTCTACTGCATCATCAACAGGAATGCACGTAAAGAGTGATGTGACATCAAAAGAGACCATTGTTTCATCAGTCTCCATGATGACATCCCTCACCTTATCCACAAAGTCCATGGTGTTCTGTATGTGGTGTTCTGAGCTGCCAACTAAAGGGATGAGTACAGACGCCAGATATTTGGAAACATTGTAAGTGACAGAGTTAATCATACTAACAATAGGTCTTAAAGGTACACCTTGTTTGTGGATTTTAGGTAAACCATACAGACTAGGTGTGGCCTCATCCCTTTAGTCTTTCTACACTTTTTTGTTGTTTTGATTTGTTTATTTTTTATTTTTTTGAATGTCCAGAGGACCAGATTGAACTTTTTTAGATGTGTGAGTAAGAGTTGTTTTGTCTGAACAGAGAGGAGCCTGCACACCTGATGAACTCCAAGGCCTCACAGCTGGAAAGCAGATGTTTGGACCTCGTCTCTGCCTGATGAGCATTTTAAAAAGACTCTTCTTTCTACTGTCTGTGGAGCAGACCTTACAACTGGAGCTTCATGTAACATCTCATCTGTGTAAGCCTGTGTGTTAACTCTGCTCCCCCCACTTGCAAGGAGTAAAACTGGGTTGAAAAATCTCGTATCCTCAGAATGGCTTATTAGAGTAATGAGATGATGATAGGATAATTAAATTATCTAACAGCAAGTACGTCTTTGACAGTAAAATTATTTAGTACTGTACTGAGGTTTTCAAAATCCTGCATTGTACATTTACGTGGTGGATTATTCTGCCTTTGCTGCTTAATGAGCTACTTGATGATTTACACTGAACTACATCCCATTACATGAAATACTGTAAAACTGTAATGCATTTCATATTTTAACAGCAATGACAATATTTACTTCAGTGAGTGAACTGCTTTCATTGCCAAGAGTAAAATAAGACAGTCTTTCACAGTAGATTTTAAAAAACAAAGAACTAATAACTAAATCAAACATTGGTCATGAGGCTGGTTTTTAAGACACTTGTTGTTCTGAGCATAAAATCTATTTATCAATGACATGGCATACAGATGTTTATAAAAAATGTGTATGCTGGCATTTATTTCCTAAGCAAGGTAAAACTGGACAGGCAAGACCTAAAACTTAAAGTATAAATGTGTAATTTAGCTGTAATCTGAAAACAAATGTACACACAGCGTCTAGATTTGCATCTGATTCAGTTCAACTAAATGTTCAAATGCAGACTGCACACAAGTATCTGACGAATCTTTCCCCTTTTAAAAAAGTGAGATTTTTGCAAACCTTGTAAAAATATAGCCAACAATGTCCCGATGATGCACTTATTATTTGCATATATTAATGTTTCTGTTCAGTGCCCTGATAAGACATCTGTTGTAACTTGGCAGGAATAGAAACTGAACTGAATGTAAAACAGTTTTACAAACATTAAAAGAAGAGCCAATCATCAATTACTTTATATTTATGTACTTACTTTGGTTTCTTCTACTCGTATGGAGTCCAGCAAGTAGTGCAGAAGCTCCTGACTGTCTTGTTGTTGGTAGCCCTTAAAGCGTGGAGCTCTGCAACAAAAAACAGAAGACAAAAAAAAAAAAAAAGAACAGAAAGACGAAAAGTTAGAAGGTAGAATAAGAAAACAGTCAAACTGCATTTAGGTGGGAGGGAATCTTAAGCATTTTCAAAAGATTCAGTTGGCACAAAATACTGAAAACAGGTCCAGCTGGATAAGGTTCAGGTTCAACTCCCGGTACCGTCAACATCAAAATGTGGGTGGAAAAGGTGAAACATCCACACCTGCCCCCACCCTCATTGGCCCCACTCTGGGCCCCTGAGCAAGGCCCTCAACCCCCACGATCTGCTCCCAAAAACAGGTCTCTCTTGAAAATGAGTTCTCGTGACTCAATGAAACTACCTGTACGAATAAAGGATAAATGAACAAAAAGACATAATGAAGCTGCAAGCTCAAAAATAATGTGAACAAAAAATAAATCAATACATGTCCCTCGTGAATGCCTTTTTATAATCATGCACTGCTGCAGAAGACAGATACTCGTATCTGAGGTACAAAATGACCTTTTCATATTCATCTCACAGGTGAATCAGTGGAATAAACAAAAACAGGCTCTGAACTTAAAGCCAAACATTTTCTTATCGAAGTGGATCGTTGTGTGCAGACAGAATTCACACAGCTCAATCAGAATCAGAATAAACTTTATTATCATTGCACCGAAGTACAGCGAGATTATATTCCATACAGTCGTCCGAAAGATGGGTGGAGTGCACGTGGCTGCAGCTCCTAGGAGCACACCCCATTATTCTTTAGATAGAAAAGAGGAACGACCATGAGGAGAGGATAGTGGTATTACAAAAAAGATCTCTTCACACCCTGTCCTTGTCAGGACACAATTTAAGATGTCAAAAAACTTTACCAGCAAGCACATTGAGAATTTTCATCTTCTTTCTTCACCCTTTTCATTCAATGTTTTTTTTTCGTTTTGATGAATTTGCTTTGTTTCTTTTAAATGAATGAATGAATGAATGAATGAATGAATGAATGAATGAATACATTTATAACACATTACATATGCATTTGATGACAAGACGGTGAGTTTTGTCAATGAAGCTCTTCCAGATAGCACCATAGTCCTGATAAGATGTTGGTGTCAGCCGGTACATTTCTGATAAGCGCGTTCACAAAAGTTCTCAGGGGTGGTGGAGGGGGATTGATAGAGCAGAGCCTTCTTAGTTTACACACATCCAAGGAGAAATTTGATACGTTGGCCTGCTTCAAGGCTGAACGGGGAAGTCAGATTCAGATGAGCCACAGTTGTTTTTTGTGCAGGCAGACTGTTATTTCTCGTCAGCCTGGAGTTCTGCTGGTACTCTCGATGATCCAAAATGGCCAGATTTGTGGGCTTTCTGCTGGTCCGTACTTATTAGCTGCCTCCAAAGTTGATCCCAACATGCTGGTGAGTTCGAAAGCCGCAAGTGGCCTACGATTCCCACAAATCACTTCCATCTTACGATTGAGCTTGTAAATCAGCTGAGTGTGAGAGCTCGAAGTACGAACTGATCCTTCACATAAGGTCAGAAGCTTTGCCATGGCCGAAGCTGCTGCCGCCGTCTTCCTTCATAGCCGATAACATAGATATCTGACGGTGCCAAAAAGCTGAAACCCTGCTATCATAAATCCAATGATCTTTGGCGTCCTCCTGAGACAACACAGAAAGGTGCAACATATCCATGACGTGCCCTGCTCAGCGGGGCATGAGAGTTCTCCAGGACCCTGTCGCTTGATTAAAACATTTTTTTTTCAATTGTGTTGAAAGACCAGCTGACCAAATCCATGACAGTAATTTACAATTTGGAAGATGTGAAAATAGAAACTCATCCACAAAACAGAGAGCAAAAAAGCAGGTGGAAGGCAGAAGAGGGAATAAAAGCATCCGTCTTGCTGAGAGCGAGTGAGAAAAAAAAACTGGTGGAAAATGAAAAACAACAACGCAATATTGTCCCAAGAAAGCCGGAGTTTGTGTCTTTGCAAAGCACAAAAAAAGGGGAAATCATTAGTTAAATAAGTTTGCTAGAAAATGTCTCATTTCTGATCACGTGCACATTGAGACAATGTGCACAAATATATCAAACTGTGTCCAAAATAATAAAAAAAAAAATTATTTAACTGCATACAAATTATTATTTTTAAAGGGTTGCACATATTTGCAACAATTACCCCATTTCGGTGAAACTGACGCATGTTCTATAAAACATTATTTTGTCTTATACAGTAAATGTTTTCCTTTTATAAATGAATAACGCCAAGGGTGATGCATCATTGAGTCATAATTACACCGAAGACGCGGTGAGATTTACTTCCTAGACTCTTTGCTGAACCTCCTGGTATCAAAGCAAGATGAACCTCCACCTTTAAAACAAGAGCAGTTAGAGGGGAGGCTCTCCTTGGGTCCTTCTCCTGGCTGTCCACGTGAAGCAGATGTGTGGACAGATGCCAGAGGCAGATGGGCAGCTGAGGCTGGAGTCATGGCAACCTGTTGGGCCGAGTCAGCCACATAACCAAAGGACAGGTTGGTCAGACGGGCATGACACTCACTGAACAGAGGCCACGTTTCTGGTTGGAGAAGCATCGAACAGACTCCGAGGGTATTTGGAGGGTGGGGACTGTGGTGCGTTAACCTCTGCGGCACTACTGTGGATGATCTTCACTGAAACTTCATGCTCTTGTAGTACAAATGCAATAAAGATACCAAAATTGTTTCTTTGGTAGCTGGTCTATTGCTTCTAATTTGACACGGCTCACAATGATAATAAATAAATAGTTTGCATAACTTGTTGCAGCATTTTCTTGCTCATTAATACAGTTCCTACTTTATTAAATTATTCTCAATAGGAACAACTTACATAGAAGTAAGCTACTTTTTAGGAGACTAGGACAAAATGCCAAAATTAAATTTATATTGCTTCGAGGGGAAAAGGAAAAATTAAATGGTAGAAACAAAAATTATAACCATAAAATATGGAGAAGCCTAAAGTGTCTTATCTCTACATAACAAACAATCTGACATAATCTCAAACGCCTGCGCTTTTTTTTTGTGCATACATGGGTGGGGGTGTGGGGGGTGTGAGGGGAGAATTAGGGTTAATTAGAGCTCACATTATACATTTGCCAGCTCAAGAAGAGAGCACAGATCTCCTGAGGCGGTGGTTCCAATATCTGTGAGTCACAAAACACCAAGTTGAGAGTCTTGAAATGATCTAAAAGAATTTATACGACTGAGTTTGTTGTGGCTCCTTGGACTGATGAAGTCTTTTGGATGAAAGACGAAACGTTTCAACAAAAAGAAACCGTCCAGAGGACCTGACTTAACTTTGTTGGATCTAAAAGAATGTTTTTGTAATAATTTCTAACAGCATATTATCTATCATAGTCATTGCAAAAGGAAAAAAAAACAATAAGAGGGAAGTTTAAGCTAAGAGACTTATTGTGTGCGTATTTGTTCACAGAGTTTCCAGAAGTATAGACCAGCCGAGGATATGTGGGATGGTGTTTGCTGACATTATTTCAGGGTCAGAAGCTGAAAAGTTTGGGGAGCATTGTTCCAACTATCCATCCAAATAAAAATATAAAAAGGAGAAATGTAAAACCCTTGAGTGAATGAATCCACGAGTAGAGAAAAAAAGACAATAGCAGGTCAGTTAAAGAGAAAATGAAAAACACGGTAGGAGTCAGTGGGAATGAGAAGGTCTGGAAGCTCATCCCAGTGGAGAGAAGCAGAAGGGCCCTGTAGCGCTGCTCCCAATCTGGCCGATGTAAACAGCTGCGGTGCTAACACAATTAATAGCCGGATGAGTTAGTACCAGACACAAGCTCCCCCTCCAACACACACATGTATGAGCAACACACTTCACACTAATCCTTTACTCACACAACGCCCAAATATAAAGACGTTTCCAATTTATTTACATTTTATCAAACATCTTAGAGAAAAAAAATGTCTTATTATAGATTTTATTTTATTCCTAATATGTAACAAAAAGGGTTCACATACATTTTTATTTGAAAATGAAAAATAAGTTTACGATTGAATAATTAATTAATTAATTAATTAAAGTCAGTAGCTTAAGCTCAGCAAAATATATTTCTCATGTAAAATAATGTATTACCATTAGGGGTGCACCGATTTATCGGCTGGCAGATTTCCTTAATTTTGGGTGATCGGCGATCAGCCGATACACGAGAAACCCTTTTTACCGATATTTTGTAGTTTTAACAATTGTCTAAACTTCATTTATATTTCAGAGCACTACCTCATGGCCAGTTAAAACAAGTTTGTATTGGTTCTAGGATATTGTTTAAGAGTATGTTTTTCAATACAATACGATTGTAAAATTGAAGGTGCATTGTGACATTATAACACCTGACAGTGTCGCTTATGAAACAAAATCGGAATCGGCAGGTCAGACTTTTTAGAAATCGGTGATCGGCCAGAAAACTGCAATTGGTGCACCCCTAATTATCATATTGCCATAAAAATATATTACTTATCCACCACTTCACATGTCAAAGTTGTAAACAATGGTTTTGTGTTTCTGTAAGCACCAAATTTGGGCGCACTGTGTGTAAAAGTGACGGAGACGTGGCCTTTCTAGGTTTTCTAAAAGTTTTTTAAACTAATGTCTGACTATATATATATATATATATATATATATATATATATATATGTGTGTGTGTGTGTGTGTGTGTGTGTGTGTGTGTGTCCTTCCACAGTTAAAACATTTTGTGTCACAATTCAAAAGCAAAACAAAAGTTGTTTGTGGCTTGAATCTAAACACCATTTGATCAAAACCGATGTCACAATCAACAAGCTATTGTTTTTATTCATCACACTTTAGACTTATTATGAATCATATTAGCCTATTAAAAAAACTGCAAGACTAATTTAGGATTTCAAATAAAAATTTTTGTATAATAATTAGGAAAAAAAAATCTCTATTGTTGAATTTCTTGCGTCAGACACTGAACTATGTAAATGTATTGGTATAGAAA